TCTGAAAAGTTAGTTGCTGCCATAGCTGAGGATTTCTGTTGCTTCCAGGGCTTCTTAAGCATCTTAAAGCAAACAGTATTTGCAACAAATATAAGGAAAGTAAGATCACAGTCAGATTCCTGTGGCAGCCATCGTCTGTTAATTGCTTTCCCTTCCAGTTGGCTGCCCTGCAGAGACAGGGTTGACTTGTGAACGTTTCTGTTTGTCTGTGGAAATGGCCTCACTGCATAGCCCAGGCGTGCCTGGAACTCACTGTGTATTCCAAGCATCCTCCTGCCTCAGCTTCTTGAGTACTGGGATTATAGGCATGTGCCATCTTTCCTGGCTTACACACTTTTAAATAAAGCCTTTTATTTAGCTTTCTATCTCAAATGTCTCCTCTTATTTGAAAATAAAATTTTTATGATGGATATGCCCATTTGCTTGAGTTTTATTTATTTTGAGTTTTGTTTGTTTTTAAATACTAAATTCCATTTTCTGCTTTGAGAATATGCTCTTAGGTTCTCAGGTCGCAAAGCCTAGATTGTCCTTGCTAGGTGGCCTTAATTACTTGGGATAAATCTCCTTTCTTGGGATAAGGAATGAACCAGATAGAAGAAGGCCAGTAGAATGGCAGAGGATATGGGCCCAGCGCAGTCCTAAGAAACAGACCCAGCCCAGGTCAATGCCCTGTGTGCAAGACTTGGCGTCTGTGATTTCCTTGACTAGATTTACAGCTCAAGAAGCAGGTGAACTCTTTTATGGTTCCTGAAGCTTGTTAGCTTGTTTTTGTGCTGACCTGTTCCTTCCTTACCCACTCTGTGGTCAGGTGTTCCAGCACTCCAGTGTTTAATCCTCCCTGGTTTTCTGTAAAGATTCTCTTAGTTTTAATATTGAAATTAGTAATTTATAGCTTTGGGAGTTGTCTATGCTAGTTCCATTCCTGCTTTTAAATGGTGATTTTTTTTTAAAAAAAGGGAGTTATAGACATGTTTTATTTAAAAAATATTGTGAAACTGTTTCATATATATAGTTTTTTAAATTATTTTGGTTTTGGGTTTTTTGAGGCAGAGTTGGGATTTATTAAAAATTGCATATGGGTGTTAAGAACGGGGTTTACGAGGAGAGATGCTCAAAAGTCATATTCGGAAGTATAAATGTGGACATCTCTCAGAAGGGTCACTTCATTACTCATGGTAATTTATGTTATGTTGTTTTCCTGATAACAAAATACTTCCATTAAAAAATATATTTAACCCGTCTTACTACTTAGTATAATGTACTACACATTATCACAGTTTTGTGCTTTCATGTTTTTTACCCTTTATGTTTTCTTCCTTATAAACAGTTATGTTTCAAATGTCCAGGGGTGACATAAATCTTCAAAACGTTGAAGGTTTGAATATTAACCTTTCCTCATCTGCACACCAATCTCAAATGTTAGTGCCAAAATCCTTGATTTAGAATACGTAGAAATATGGCAGATCAAATCACATGATTCAAGAAATCCTTCTATTTATCTGTTCTTTCAGATAAAGATGCTAGACTTAAATTAATCTGTACAAAGTTTTAAATGTCTCCCGAACTTGTAATATAAGTGGCCTCCTGTGCCAGTCCCCAGTCCCCTAGTCTGTCTTCCATGTGGTAACTGAATGACGATGTGGACGTGCCTGCTCCCAGGTGTGGCTGAGGAGAAGGTTTATTGTCCTTCAGAGGGAGAGCACAGACAGAGGCATCTGGAAGGGAGGGAGGGAGGGAGGGAGGGAGAGAGAGAGAGAGAGAGAGAGAGAGAGAGAGAGAGAGAGAGAGAGGATCAGGAAAGCACATGGGAACCCCCTGTGGCCAAAATGGCCAAGGTAATACAGGGATCATAGGTGGGGGGAAGGGAAGCCTAGTCGCTGGGCTGGAGAGGTTTGGAGTGGGGGCAGGGCAAGAAGTAAGGAGTTGCCACAGTACTGAGGCTTGCCCCAGAGACCTAACAGTAACCAGTGCATACTGTTGGTTTTGTCCTGTGGATTCACTGACTCTGCTTGTGTGTGTGTGTGTGTGTGGGGGGGTGTTTCTTCCTGGACTGCCCGGAGTGATCTTTCAGTGTTCTCCCCTGAGGGCCGGGCCAGGATCCGGGGAGGAATTTGCCTGGCTTTCCTCATCCTCTGTGTGCAGTTACTTAAGCTTACGTTTTTAATTTACTTGTCTAAGAGCATTGCTTCAGTCTTGTGGGGTTCTGGAACTGCCAGCATCAGACAGTGAGAAAGGTGCAGAGGGCATCTGGGGGTTCAGGGGTTCTTCTCAGCCTTGTCCTCTTTGTGAGTCACAGCGCTTCTTGATGTTCCTCACTGCTGGGCCCTCTCAGGTTGGCTAACACGGCTGCCCATCTCCATGTGCCTCCCCCTGTGTTGATTTTCTTCTGGTCTCTGGTGCAGCCATTTTAGGTCTGTGGATCTCTGTGCCTTGTAGAAAGATCTCTCTACTGTGACTTCAGTGGAATATGTGGAAAGGCTGTGATTAGATATTAAAGACTGTGAACATGCATCTTTAGAATTAGAAGACACTGCGCATTTGGCAAGCTACTGTCTTGCCAAATCCTGTCTGGAAGGGTGGTCAGTGTTCCTATGGGGAGAGAGGAAATGTTCTTCAGACCTCCCGCTTGGCTCAGCAGCTCACTTTCTGCACCAAGGCCCTAACTTCTGCTGGGGTTCTTCCTAGGGGTTTATGTTTTTGTTGCTTTTGTTCTTTGTTTATCAAATTAACTTGCCAGTCTGAGGGATGGTGCTTTTGTGTATTTGTTTTCTGACTGCCTCTTACTCTAAGAGCAATGCAGCATACTGTCTTTGGTTTCCCACTTACATAAGCATTTGCAGATAATGACACTTATATTTACTTCCTTGTAGTAATTGCATTTTATATTGTGACTTTATGGCAAGTTGCACTGGAGTTAGCATTTGCAATCATGTAAAATGCTTCTGGAGCATTGTCAATAACAACAGTCTTACTGTACGAACTTGTGCTTTATTTTAGTAGACAAAGAGGAGTACAATTTTGGTTTGTCATGGTCCCATGTCAGGACAGGGAAAATTTATCCTTTCAAATATTTTAGAGGAGGATATTTGAATGTTAGCAAATGGCCATTAGCCTCTGTCCCTTGTCATTGACCTTTCTTAAAGTAGCGAACTGATTTGAGTCTCAGTTAACAGTTTGAATCAAGTCCATCTCAGGGGGGGCAATTCTTCAGAAAGTTAAATTCACCAGAAGACTGAAATATAAACATATTCAATCACAATCATGTGGGATATGAGTCAGTCACTGGGGGCTATTTTCTAGAAAGTATTCTGGGTTACTAAATTCTCACCTTATCTATGGACAGCTTTTGAAATAATTGGCTATCTCTTCTTGAGTCACTTCTGCATTTGATTCTTGTTGATTCTCCACATCTTCATTTCCTCTTATACCTTTGGTATTTTGGTTTTCTAATTCAGATATTTTAATGTATACTAGTTTTTTACTAACCTGTTACTTTGGAATGAGTCAAGGCTCACTTCCTACCAACCTCAATACAAATACTCAAAATACTTTAATACATTACGATGCACCTCTATGCAGTTTCCAGATGTGTGCTGCTACCTGCTCAGACTGCCCCACGTCCTTTTTTCTTTTTCTTAATTGCCTTAAATAAGACAGCCTTAGCAAGTCCAGTCTTGAAACATCTTTCTCTGTAAACCTGGTCTGCTGTCTGCATCCCTCTTCCTTTCTGGGTCTGTTTATTCTAAAACCATTGAATTATCTTGAGTTTTCTTTCCTACTCTATTCTGGTATATCTACTGCTACTGTTTTCAAGAATATATTCAGAATTCTGCCTTCAGCCAAGACCAGATTATAGCTCGTTTTCTCACCTCTCTTGTCAACATCTTTTTCTCTTTTCTGTCAACTTTTTTTTAATTTAATTTTGTTTAGCTAGCACTTTTTTATTTATTTTATATACTGACCACAGTTTTCCCTCTCTCCTCTCCTCCTGTCCCTTCCACCTCCCATGTGCCCCCTCCCCATCCACACCTACTCCATCTTCATTCAGAAGGGACAGGCCTCCCATGGGCTTGAACATAGCATGGCACATCAAGTTGAGGTAGGACCAGCCTCCTTCCCCTGCATCAGGACTGGGCGAGGTAATCCAGCATGGGTGACAGTTTCCCAGAAGCCAGCTAAGTGCCAGGGGATCTCTCTGCTAGGAGCCTTATGAACATGACTGTCACACCCATGCAGAGGGCTCTTCTGGTACTATTGCCGTGGCCTTCCGAGGTGAAACCTATCCTGCTTTCGTTGACTTGTCTTTATTATCAACATAACTCCCAGAAGGATTTCTTCTGCCCTCTCCTGTCCTTACCTCCGCTACTTTTCCTCTTTAGTGCTGAAGGTTGTACCCAGGGCTTTGCACATGCTAGGAAACTGCTCTGCCACTGATCCACATCCTCCACCCCAAAGTGATCTTTTGCAAATTTCAGTCAACCAGGCTTAAAAATCTCCAGAGCTCTGTGTGTCACATAGGCCAGATTCTTTGTGATTGATACTGCTCCTACAATTCGGTTCCCAGTCACTCTGACCCCCTCTCCCATTTCTCCTTCATACTCTCCACTCCAGCTGTTCATCCTTCTTTGCTGACCCTTGCACACAGTAGGCACATTCCCATGTTAAGTCTGTGTGCTGTGCTTTCCCTCCGCCTGTAATATGACGCACACCCCTCATCCAGTTTCCCCGAGAAGAAAGTTTTGCTGTCCTCTCTGCTTTTGTCACTGTAGCCGCCATGTTAGTTTGCTTAGATCGTAGCCTCGATCTGGGTTTTTCAAATATAAGAATGCCTTAAAAACTCTCTCTCTCCTTTTTATATGACAAGACAGTGTCCTCTGACCTTCACATTCGTACTGTGAAACACACACACACACACACACACACACACACACACACATTAAATGTCATACAGATTTTAAATCATGATGTGGTGCTCTTGAGGTATACATGAGCCCAGTAACTGTTATGTAAATATAAGCTAAAAGTTTTTTTCTATTCCTTATTTTTTTCTCAATATGTATTTAATTCCTTATATGTATTAAGGCTTAATTTTTTTCCCCAGTGGATTTTATGGGAAAGAGTAATCTGCATATTCAATCAGATAGTGTGAATATTTTAGCCATGATTTTTATGCACAGAAACAGCATACTGGAGCAGCATTGTTCCGATGACTTTGCCTTTTCGTTGAAGCTGGCTCAATCTACATTTTCTTATTAAGAAAACTTAACAGGTTACAGCTCATTTAATATTGAATTCTGAATCATCAGCACTGTTGACCAAAACTGAAAGGAAAGATCTTTGTGATATGAATCATGTTTCCTGTAGGTTCATTAATGGTAGTCCAGTTGGAGAATACTCCTTGTGCCAGGTCTACACTTTGTTCAGGGTGCCTTGCAGGTAATTGCTGCTCTTGTGAAAGGTTGTATTTATTATTTATTTTGTACTGGGAAGGAGTTGAACACAGGGTCTCCTGCTTGTTATGCATGCAGTCTACTTCTGAGCACTCTTTCCAGCCCTGTGCAAATTTTTGGTATTACTATTTTTATCTACTTATTATTTTATTATTTTGTTTGTTTTGAATTGCCACTTTGTTTCTCTGTGTCTGTTTTTTAGTTTTTATAAGTCATGTTCCCACTCATTAGGGACTAACTTTAGCCCTCGGATGCTATTATATTTTAACTCTCTGCATAAAGAAGAGAAACTTCTGATGCCAACCACTACTATTTTTTATGTTTGTTAGTTTAAAATATAAACAGTTTAAAGTCAAAATATGTTTAATGTGACTTGGGATGATATACACGCCCAAATGGCCTGGAAATCCGTTAAGTTCTTAACTCGGAATATAGTGGACTACTCTTCCCAAATATTACTCAACATTAGAAATGCTAACAAGGTTCCTAGAAGCACCTTTTAAGGAGGTGGGTTCAGGCTTCAGGGAGCTGCTGGCAGCTAGCCGGATCTCATACAGGGCCTTTCCCCATTTCCTGTCCTGTCTCTGTAGACAGGGATGTGTGCACAGGGCAGCCTCTTTCACTCACCCACTCTGATAGCTTAGGGCCATAAGCCTCTTGTGTGCCTGAAGCTGGAGAATGTCTTTTGGAAAGTAGACTGTTCTGAATGTAGCCAGCGATGGAGAGAAGAGTGTACAGTCAAGGTATCCTCCCATTCCCTCCAGATGACATCCATGGATAATTAATAAACGTTATATTTCCTTTATTTGAACCGAAGTTCCAGTTAATTTACTACTTACCATTCAGTAAGTGTTTCTGTGGGATCCATTCATGTACCCCTGAAGTATCATGTATCATGAAAAATCTTCCCACAGCTTAGAGTCCTGAGCAAGTGGCTCTGGCATGTCCTCACCCGGCAGGATATACCTGACTATGTGAAAGGGTCATTGTTGGTTTTTATTTATTTTTTTAAATTGCCATGTAGAGTTCCAAAAAGTGTTGGTAAACTTTTGTACCTTTGTCATGCTAAGCTATTGGATCTTCTTGTCCTTTGGGTGAATCTTTTATCAGTATGTGGTTTTGTTGATAGACATCCCTTTTTTTAATCAGTGCATTGTGGTTAGAAAACACCGATTCACTGACATATGCAAGTCTTTCAGATGCTGGCACATTTCATTCTGTAGTTTCCAGAGATCGTATACTGCTGCTTTCATTGTAACAGCGTTAAGTGCTAGGAAGTTTTCAGATTCTTGGTGTAAGAATCATAGTTTCCAGAATTTGATTTTTGCCCAGAGGCTTGAATTTTACCATCAGCAATAAATATTGTCCGTTTTTTTCTTGAAATGCCAGATATACTTCTTTTGAGGAATTGTCTCCCAGAGCCTTGCTAAGCAGCCTTGCTCACTCTCCAGCAGCAGAGGCTGCAGGTCTGACGTGCACAGGTGTCCCAGGTGCTCCGCTCGAGGTGACCATTCTCTCTCAGGTTCATCAGAAGTGCCTATTGCAGGCTTTAGAGAGTTGTGTACTCAAGTGTTGGCTTTATTAAATGAACCATTTTTATTGTGCCTTCTCTCACGTTTCCCCATGAAATACTACTTTGATGATTGCTAAGGAAGATAGAGTTGTGCTAATCTTCATTCACCCAGACTGTTTACCAAATACCCAGACACCTCCTGTTTGGTGTGGCTGTGAAGAATGCAGAAGGTAAAGTGATTTACTATGTCCTCCTTCAGTGTGTGTTCCCTTCTGCATTTTTGGGTATCCTGGGATGACCTTCCACAGGCTTTGCGTGATAGCGAAAAGGAAGAGTCAGGCTGTGGGCCAGTCCTCTCCTTTGGAGTTCCCTCTTCTTTCTGTCTGATCGCTAGCTCTGCTGTGGAGACTGTCGGTTCTGCATCAGCGCTGCCAGATGTTGCTCTGGGACTCTCTCTGCTGCTGGTGCCCACTTGCGACACTTCCCTAAGCAGTGTAGTTCAAAGTCTTTAAGATACTTGATACTTTTAATAAAACGGGTGCATATGGAATATATTTAACCTTCTACCACCTCTCAGAAGTATATTTTCATAGCCAGGAAACTCTGATGGAAAATTCAGTAGCATTTTTCCAGAATAAAGTTCATATTCCACCAGTATTGGGAGGAAATGTGTAGACTGCGACTGAGGTGCATGGCTGCCTTCTTCCCCCTTCTTCCATATACCCGACTGCTTGACACAAGTGCCCAGAGCAAGACCAGATTGCCAGCACTGTACTTCCATGAGACCTTGCGAGGGTGGTTGTTTGCTGCTGCGGAGGCATGAGTTTTTGAACTGCCCTATTCACACAAGCCTACTTTATTGCTTTGTTTGAAGATTGGGTGTGTCTAATGTAGTGGAAATTCATCCATTGAGTGTTAAGTACAGATGAAGCACATTTCAGAGCGCAGAAAGTCTTCTTAATTAGCATTTTTTGGACTATTCATATGACTGCTTCCCTCCTTTCATGTGAATTGCAGAATTTATCATCCTTTCCAGTTCATTAAATCACTAAAATTCTCTACTGTGCTATAAATAAATATGCTTGACCATGAATCGGGTTTGGTTGAAAGCAGCTTGTCCCTGTAAGTGATCCCGGTTAGCCCACACTTCTCCTTGAATGTCTGCATTGCGTTAAATGTTAGACTTCCAATAAACCGGAGCCTTACTTTAAGCGCATGCAGGGGCTTGCTTTAGGTTGAGCTCTATTATTTCCAGTTGCATTAGCTACAAGCTGATATAGTATTATAACCTGCGTTTGTGCTTGGACATGTCTGGGAGAGCCTCAGGATACATTTAATAGCTCTCTGTGTTCTTTACCGCTGTGCCTAGTTTAAGCTTGCAACAGACAGTTGGAAACACTTAGACCACAGTCTCAGGCGATTTTACCACAACATCAGTTGCACTGCACAAATTTAATATAGAGTGCTAATTGGACTTGGACGCGTTGGGCCTGAACTTTGCTCTTATGTAACCAGAGAATGCCAGGTGTGTGGGTGTGACCTGTTAGCTCTAGATAGAGCTGTGAGATGCAGCCCTAGAGAATGGCTTTTTAAATCTGGTGACATAAGCAGGGTAGTACTGTTGGGTATGGAGAGTGGAGCTGCCGAGGAGACCCGGACTTGAGGTATCCTCCGAACTGTAGGGTGAAGGATGGGGTGAGCCTCTGATCCGTTTATAGAAAAATAGCGCTGTGAAGATGGCAGGACGCAGCAGCGTCATTTGTACTATGAAGAAAGAAAAGAACAAGTCACCAGAGCTACAGTGAGTGAGTCAGACTGGGCGAGGGATCCAGAACACACTGGAAGTCGTACGGCTTGGGTGGATGCTTGCTGTGTGCTCCTGGTGTGCAGGCGAGTCCATTCTCACTGTGTTCTGACAGTCTCTGTGAAGACCATCCCAGTGCAACTGAGATTTGGCCACCTGCCATTTAATAAACATCTCTTTTTTTGTCTGTTGTTGATGTTATTTTAAATTTTACTAGAGGATATTAGTGTAAGCAAATAGTGAATCCTTAGTAGTTCCGTGACTTGCCCACAGCTGCCTGAGCAAAGAGAGCTAGCTGAGTAAGAGAAATTTTGTTCTGTCTTGAGTCTAGGCGTGACTTTGGTCTGACCCAGTTGTCTCTACACTGACATGATCTACTATGAGCCCATGCAGCTGAAAACTATGGTAAAATGATTCTCAGTGTATTGTTAGGAAAAATTAAAGAGTTCCCCCTTGGAAGATGTATGTTAATTTCAGTGGCAGGTAAGGGCCATAACACATACTTCTGCCTGAGGGTTGTGTGATGTAGTTGGGAAAACCCAGACTAAAGAACAGATTCTTGACTTTGGGAAGTGCGACTTTTTTTTTTTTTTTCCTTTTTTTTTTGAGACAGGATTTCTACTTTGGTTTCTGTCCTGTACTAACAGCCTGCCTCTGTTTTCTGAATGCTGGGATTAAAGCTACTTACCACCACAGCTCAGCAAGTGAGACAGATTTTAAGAGCAATTAGGTTATTTTATCTTTAGCTCTGTTAGTAGAAGCACTGACCCATCTAACTAGTATCCTTATCACAAAAAACAAAACTCACTGAGTATATTATTAGAATTGCGCTTTTATTCCAAATTCCTTATTTTTTGGTTCTAATATAGGAAATCAAATTAAGTATAGAAACTCCTCAGCATCCATTCACTTTACAACAGCAAGTGAGGTGGGAGCAGCGGAAGGTGCATCACCAGTGCACCTTATTTCCTGTGGCGAATGGAGGCTTCCTGAATATTCCTGGTGTTGACGTTGGTAAGGTTACACAGACATTTACAGTACCCTGTGGGTCTTTAGCAACACACCCTAGAATCTGCACTCTTTAAAGTTAATCAAAAGGTCATCAGGGCAGGGCAGATGCCTTAGTGGTTAGGTGTGCTAGTTGCTTTTGCTTTTGCAAAAAGCAACCTGGGTTCAGTTTCCTGCTACCATATGGCAACATACTTTAACTTTAGCTCCAGAAGATCCAGTGCCACCTTCTGGTGTCTGTGGGTACCTGCATGCATGTGCTACACATACACTTAATGCAGGCACATGCATGTGCGCACACACCTGTCCACACAGAGATCTTAAAAGTAATTAAAAGTAGCATAAACCACTTTTAATTTGAACTTGAAAGAGATTTTTCTTTGAGTTTTTACTGGAAATTAGTTTCTACAGTACCCCATCGATGATAGGGTTTTTTGGTAATGCATACCTCTTTTTTATTTCATTTGAACATGTGTATTTCAGAGATGGTGTGTTACAAGCATGTGCAGGGCTGCAAGCCTCAGATCCTAGTACCTGGAAGACTGAGGCAAGGGGATTTGTCTGAATTTGAGGCAAGCCGGAACTGTATCATAAGACCCTGTTTACTTAAAAAAACAACAACAAAAACCAATGAAGGTGCATTTTCATCTCAGTTACTGCTGTTTTCTAGTTCTCCTTCCCCGAGTAACCAACCTGTCTTTTTGTATCATTATCATTTGCCAGAAATGATATTTTATTCCAATCATATATATTATAAAAATGAAGGAAGACATATCATTAAGAACTAGTAAATTAACGCCATGTGAATGTGTGTAGCATGGTAATGCAAACACGGGTTTTAACCAGTCCTTTCTATGTGGTTTGCTAAAAAATAAAATTTTGAAGGTCTTCCTGGTGTTGCTTCAAACATTGTGAAGTGTAAGATAATGTTTTGAGCAGTGCTTCTGTGTGATGGGAGAGGGTGAATTGAAGGGGATAGAGTGCCGCCTGTGTCTGTGCCTTGAGTGAGTAGGGGAACAGCACACATTTGAGTTGTGTTGTTTTTAGGATTCTCGTGTTTTAGGAGTTTTTCACTGAGTAGAGTTTGTCTGTGACAGATTTGGAATCCCATTATTAATCACAACTGGCACAAAATAACTATCAAGTGATTCAGGAATCGTCTGTATTCTGCTACCATTCATGTGCTCATTGGAGCAGGGTGTCTCTTCCAGTGCAGTCACACGTTCTCTAGTTTGTGAGTGACATGGGCTTTCCTCATGAAATGATCTGATTGTGATGTTCGTGGTGATTCTCCTAACACATGGTGGAGATTAAATTTGTCAAAATAAACAACCGTCTTGGTGATATACTCATTTTCTTCTTTTTTTAATTAATCAAAACATAATATTTTCCTTCTCTGTCATCTAAAGCAGATGACCTAGAAGAGGCCACAGCAGAGATTTTGTGGAGTTGCTCTGCTGTGACCATTCCCAGCAGACGTAGAATTTCCTATTAAATCAGAGATGTTTCAAAGAGATCTCAGGCCCTAAAATTTCTTTGGATAAATTGTTTTCAAGTACATAGTAAGAGTCGTAAAGGGGAGGGGTGTATGGTCATTATAGTAATGTTTCTCCCTTTTAACTTGTTAATCCAGTCTGTTTATTTGAATATATGCAGCATCTTTTAAGGACTCATTTCATCCCCAGCTTTTACTTTATACAGTTGTTAAATCTTCAGTTGATAAATATCTCTAGCAACTGTTACCCAGTGAGTGGTTGGTTTCTACTAACTTCTTTTACTTGCATGCAGGGATGTTTTACCATGCCTGGCAATGGAAGTTCTTACTTTAGGTTTCATTTACGTTTTCCACCATATCAGCGGTTGTCATAGTAGCAGTCTCAGTTGAGAATTGTGATTATATACTTTATCAAATGCCTGCATGATGAAAGTACAATTGTTCTAATGTAGGTCAGCCCGCATTCTAGGCCCTCATCTGGTCGGTTTCAGGGCATATAGTTCTGTTGAGTTGTATTGTTACATTATTACACTGACTTCTGGGTACCATGAATTATAAAATATATAGTATAAGAAAAAAGGCCTAGTGGCTGTAATCACTAGATGCTGTCTTTTAATCATTAGATCCAGATTAAAGTGTATGTATGTTTATGGGAGAACTTAGTGAAACATTGCACATGTATTTACACTTAATTTTTATTGAAATAAATAAATAAATAAATAAAAAGGAAACTAACTATATCTGGTAATAGTTATGTGCAGATCTCTGTATATATATCTATATATATATGTCTTTGTAGGTGCCTGTAGATGCCAGAAAGGGACCACTCAGTGGTGCTGGAACCAATTCTAGTCCTCTTAAAGAGGGCTAGCCTACTAAGTGCTCTTAGCCACTAAGCCATTTCTTCAGTCAATAAATAGATT